CCCCTAGCCCAAAACAATTTGCAACGCTTATCAACAATGTATTTTCGTTTGTCTATTTTAGAGGGCCTACATTCTTTGATCCTCTGCCTACAAGGGCCCCTGACCCTATAGGGGGGGGCTGCCGGATGGTGGTGTCCGGGGGGTTTTCCTTGCAGTGGTGGTGGTGGGGGGCCCTCGCGAACGTTTTGCCCAGGGGCCCACACAACCCATAATCCGTCCCTGACTCTGATGAATATGCGTTCCTTTAATTTTTTTGAGCAGTGTATCTCGATTGTTGGAATTGACGCCTTTTGAGTTTCTGACTGAAGTACGTATGTTATACAGCAATAGAACACGGCTTTTTAAACATACGCCCAACAAGGAAGAAGATGTCGGGTTTTCCTGGTAATCAACTTACCTGTAGATTTCTGCTCGCAGCCATGGGTGCTGGTTAAGGAACGATCAATTTAAAGGACGCCCCGATCCTACCACACGTCAACCTCAATTTAGCAAAAAAGCCGAAATTATTCAGTTATCATTAATTTTTTATTTTGGAGCCTTCAGATAATGGGAATGATGGCTTGACAAGAAGGAGGACTCTTCCGTGTCCACAGCAGACCTATAAATGTCACTTCCGTCTACGGCACGCAAAAATCTGATGACTCTTCCATTCGGAAAGACCTGATCTCACTCTCATTTCAGTACACTGCCTTATGACAAAATGTCTTCTGCCATAAATCCTATCCATTTCAGAGGCGGTCTTGGTCAGTGACACACCCATGACTGGCAGTTGAGGAGCTGGGCTCCTGTGCGATCCTTCTGCAGTACCATTGCAGTACTATTCTGATCCCGCCGCGACAAAGTGCAAGTGGACAGCAGCTTAGGTTCAAAGGGGAGTGAATTAAAGACCAGTGTTTGAAAGATTTACTCAGAGCACTGGCATTGTTCTTTAAATACAGAATTACAATCTTAAATAAGATTTAGTCTTACCTGGTATGCCTTTAACCGCCACTAGGGTTTGATTGTTTGTTAACCCCTTTGGGGAAACTATATTGGGAAAGGCTCTGTAAATGTTTTTAATAATGGGATGTGAATTAATTCTAAATTCATTTAAAAGTTGCCTTTGGTTGTGGCAAACAAAGCCGTATATGTGGTCAAACTCAGAGACCCAAACTGGGAGTGGTCTGGACCCATGGCTGTAGTGGTTCAAAGAAATTCCACAATAAAACCGTTTTAATACACAGTATTACGGTTGCTGTGTTTGGCGTGCATTTGTTCTCGTTATTTTAGATCACGGTACAAATGTCCATTTTAAGACGCATAGTTAAATATTGTTTCATAAACATGGGGTAACAACTTACACATATACCTGACTTATTTTAGTCCATAAATGTAGTTTCACATTTATTATAAATGCAGAAATAAGATTTTGCAAAATATTTACAAATACAAAGCACCAGAAAAAAACAATTATTAAGAAAACAAATTAAGAATATTAAAAGAAAAAAAATTAAGAGTTAGGAGATACACATGGAAGGAGCAAGATTAAGGACAATATTCTAACCGCAAAGAGCTCTGTGCTATAAATGAAATATAGTCTTCTTTTTGCATATATTGTGATTAATATCCATGGCTTCCCAAGCTGCAACAGAAAGCAAGCACCATGATATATGGCTGAGGTTTATCCTTGTTCTTCCATGTTTCCTGCATCATTCCGGGGGGGGTGGGGGGGGAGGGTCGACCATCAACTACCCCCGTCCACCATGCGAGTCCGCAGCAATCTCAGGATGCGCTCATTTTTAGTCACGTCTGCTGGAAGCTCCTTGTTCTGCAAAATAAAATAGTAATAATCTTACTCTAATCAACTCAGCTGGTCAGGATTCAGGCTCTTAGTTGTTTATTTGACTGTAAGATTATATTGTCATTTATTTATAACTCAGTACAGTTTATTAACTAGGCTGCGACAGCATTAACATTACTTGAATATATTTGGAAACATATTTTCACAAAGGATGGTAAATATATTAGCATGAACCAGGAGCGTCGTCAGGCCTTTTATTAAGGGGGCTTTAGCTTTAGCCAACAAAAAAAATAAAAATAATTATATGTATGTATATATATATATATTTATATACACACACACACACACATATGTATATTTATTGGCTTAAGTCATGAATAGCTTTTCATATTATGCATGTTTGCCATCGGCCCCCCCTAGTAAAGACTCCCCCCCCATACATTCATCTCTAACTACACCCCTGGCATGAACTAGGATAGGCAGTGATGGAACGACAGAAAATTTGAGTAAACGGAGTTAATAGGACAGCGATGAAGAGTGTGCATTCCTGCATGGAAAGAACAAAACCAAAGAGGAGAAGGAGAAACCAAAGAGGGGGAGGAGAAACCAAAGAGGGGGAGGAGAAACCAAAGAGGGGGAGGAGAAACCAAAGAGGAGGAGGAGAAACCAATGAGGGGGAGGAGAAACCAAAGAGGGGGAGAAGAAACCAATGAGGGGGAGGAGAAACCAAAGAGGGGGAGGAGAAACCAATGAGGGGGAGGAGAAACCAAAGAGGAGGAGGAGAAACCAAAGAGGAGGAGGAGAAACCAATGAGGGGGAGGAGAGCCCGAGACCTTTGTATTTCATTTTCATATTCTGGCATCATTAATTAACATCCTTCCTGATGAGCAGTCATGGGGCCACAAGCCCCTATAATGTTTATATTCCATGCCTGGAGACAGCGATGACCCATTTCCTCCGCAAGTCGCTGTTACAGGACATATTTGTTATAGGCCTAAGCACTGCTCAGAAATGATGTGCTGCATTCTGGACCACATCAGGTTTGATCGATGGCTTCTGTCTGAATTAACACCATAGGGTTGCAGCAAGCCTCAGATCGTCTGGAACACCGGCCCTTTCAGGCTTGGACGTACCTTGTTTGTTAAAGTGGGGTCGGCATTGGCGCGCAGGAGAAGCACCACGGCCCGCAAGTTTCCACCCATGACCGCGGCATGGAGCGCCGTCGACCCGTTCTGTATGGGGCACAAAAACGGATGGACACCATGGTTATAGGAGATAATGTGAATTCAGCTCTGACTCTGGTTCAAAGAACAGCACCATATAACAAACAGAAAGATATACATTCAAGTCCACCTGCTGGGTTATGGAGATTAACAAGGAACATAGCAGGACAATCATGGCTAATATCTTAAGGACTGTTCACCTTGAGCAGGCCGAGCGAGGGGGAGAACTTGAGGAGCTCCTCGACCACGCTATTGTGTCCTTTAAAGGCTGCTTTGAACAGGGCCGTGGTGCCGTCCTGTCGGAAGGGGGAATGCGCCGGGGCGTTAGATTATATTCCAGGTAAGTGCTGGAGCACTATTCGGGTGGTATGGAGCAACTACTATTAATACTGCTAATAATAATAATCCTGCAGAAAAATGCATTTTAATACAGTACACCTAACCTAACAAACACCATAGCCTAGCCTAGTCTTCCTTAAACTTTCTTAGAAAACTTACATTAGCCTACAGCTGGGCAAAATCATTAACATAAAGTCTGTTTTATAATGAAGTGAATTTATTGATTAATCATACCCACCGCAAATTTGAAATATTGTAACACAGACTATCATAATCTGAGGAGCGTCTATATTATAATGAGAGCACAAGATATAATTTTTTGGGACTTTGTGGGCTCTGCAGGATTACCATGACTAATTTAATATCATAATTATCTCAATATACAGTTATGTCTATAATACTGCAATATTCTGTTTTCAGGATATTCTACTTGTGTACCATGTACTTTTTTAAAATTTTGCCTGCACCATGTTTGTTTTTTGCACTTTGTCTGTTCTGCACTATATGTATGTTTGTCTGTTCACAGCATACTTCATACTGTATGCACCGGAATGTACCGCTGGGATCAATAAAATCAAGCTTTGATCTTTATCTTAATCTTTTCAAGAACCCAGAATGCTTACAATAGGAAAAGATGGAAAATATGGACAGAGTTCTGCAGCAATATATAACAGAGGGATAATTTAGTAAAGTATAGAACTCCGTTTCTCAGCTGGGGGGGGAGGGGGGCTGTGACCCAAATGTCAGTTGCAGGACCATTTTCATTGGGTCACGGAGTGTGTGACTAAAAAATTTCTACACTTTGTTTTTTAACAGAGCATGAAGCAGTGCCTGGTGCTCTACTTACTGTACTGTACTTTTTTTGGGAAATGAATTTGGTTCAAATTTAAAAAATTTGGGTCATGACATAATGACTAAGGAAAAATGTGGTTCCTGAGGTTAAACCAGTTGAGAACCACTGGAATAGAAAACAGGCAATGAATATATGTATCATACAGTACTAGTCAAAAGTCTGGAAACACCGACTGACAATCATTTGTTTTTCAACAAGATAACAACCCTAAGCAAACCTCAAGGTTATGTAAGTATTGTATTATATTGTGAACAAGGAAAGAGATGTAGTGCTGTTACAGATGAACTGGCCCCCACAATCCCTCGATCTAAACCCTACAGAGCAGGTTTGGGATGAGTTTGATGGAAGAGTAAAAGCGAGGTAGCCACCTCGTACCCAGAACGTGCGGAAACTCCCTCGGGACTGTTGGAGAAGCATTCCAGGGGTGGCTACATCTGGAAGTTGGTGGGCAGAATGCCAAGGGTCTGCAATGCTGTCATGGAAGCAAAAGGCGGCTATTTTGAAGAATCTAAAATCTGAGAAATTTGAGAACACTTCCCTTGGTCATCGCAGTATTTGATATGTATTACTTCACTGCCTCGACTCCTATTACTACGAGGTGAATAAAAGTTAAAATAGAGACAAATTAAAAGCATTAAAAGCAGGTGTGTCCAGACTTTTGACAGGTACTACATACATGATATATGTGATGCAGGACTATAAGGTTACAGTAATATCTAATGTCAAAGGGTTATATAACATTTATAAATATTGGCCATTGAGAAGATGCAACCACATAACATTTGGGCCTCAATTAAAACACATCATAATAGGGCACGGACCGCACACGGTCACTGCAAGAGGTGCGAGGTGGGGGCGCGGACCTTACTTTTCGATCTGCGTCACGTTCTGCCCCCCGCAAGAGAAGCACCTTCACCACCTCGCTGTGCCCCATCTGGGCAGCCATCCAGAGTGGGGTCGTACCATCCTGTAAATTAGTGGAGGGGGGAATGGTGGGTGGCAAGAGTGTGGAACTGAAGCATAGGAAAGCTGTTGTTTGGGGCCCCAAGCAAAATCTGAATTATGGGCCCTTGCTTTAACACACACACACACACACACACCACAGGCTGATCAGATGGGGGGCTCCCTGGTGCATGCTGGGCCCTAATTAGACAAGTCGCTTATGCCGTGGGCCGGCCCTGGATATAACACTGAGGTTAACCCTCTGGGGTCTAGGGGTAGGTTCACTGACTGGGGCATGATCACATCTTTCAATATCATAAACTTAATTCATGGCAAATAAATTATTTCTTGAAATACAGTGGTACCTTGGTATACGTCCTTAATCCGTTCCAGATCCTTGGACTTATACCAAACAGTACATATACCAGTCAATTTTTTCCCATAAGAAATAAAGGGAAAATGACTAATCCGTTCCCACACAGTAGCACAAGAGCCGGGATATCGGGTGAACGAAGGATTTTAATAAGAAAACAATACACCATAAACAAAACACTATATACCATAAAACGGACGTTAGATGTTAACGACCGGACTGGAGAAAACATACCTAACGCAGACTTAAATACATTGGACTAATGAGAGCAACAAGAAATAGCTGGTAAACACGGGGATTCCACACGAGGTAGATGAGGGGGCGTGGCACACGGAAGGAAAGGACGGGCGGGGCGTGACATTTGGGGTTGTATAAAATAATTTAAACACTGCTTAATACTAAAATACATAAATACAAAAGCAATTAGATTAAATTAATGAAAAGAGAGTTATAGCGCGGGTTGTTCACTGAATTTTAGCAACTGGCATACTGACGCTCGTGGGCAGTCGTGACTTTGTCTCGAGAGAGGTAAACAAGGGTAGTGCGTGGTGTCGTGACTCATTTTGACCCACACAAGTTCCAGCACACGAGTCGTATTCCAAACAAAGATCGTATACCAAGCAAAATTTTTCGCATCCAAACAGGACGTATACCAAGTTGGACTTATTCCAAAGCAGACATATACCGAGGTACCACTGTGCACGAGAAAGATATGCGGCATCGCCCACAATGCCGTCGACCCCAGAGGGTTAAACATGTAAAACAGATCTATTTATAAAACTGTAAAATACAAAAGTGACCAAATACAAGTGTTCGCTAATTAATTAAGAAGACATTCAGACTTTTTGTGACTGCCTGTAGAAGGAGGTCTACATTTAATATTGCTACGCTGATTTGCCTGAAGGGGTCAGGGTGGGAGGTGACCTCCTGCCCTGATGTGCCGGTGCCTCGTACCTCTCGCGGGTGGTTCACCTTGGCCCCCGAGGACAGCAGCTGCCGTATGACTGTCAAGTGACCTTCCTGGGCAGCAAGGAAAAGGGGTGTGGCTCCATCCTTAGTAAGGAACAGAGGTGGGGCCATGTTAGGCATCAGAGAAAGACATCACGCGGTGACCTGCATGCAATGCAAGGCCGCCTGCGTATAGCAGGTACACGGTGATGCAGATTCAGCTGTCTTTTGTAATGCATTTCATAGAGGTATTTTCACAAGTCACATTTTTCACAGACTGCAGCATTTCTGTATTTATAACTACAAACATAATTACAAATAATGCCTTGTAATCCATCACTGTAGTTCATTTATTGTATAACAATTTTTAGAAACAACAATATGGTTCCAAAACAGGCCAACATCCACTACTGTGGGCCAGCCCTTTCTGCTGACACATTTGTCCCTTTGTCACCTTAAAAATGTAACTTGTGTCCTCTGGTGTTACTCATTTGTTTCAGGGATAAACCATCAAAGGAGGAAAGACAGCATTCAGAGAGGTGGAGACAGGGTTACAACACGTACAGGGTGGGGTGGAGGTGGGGTTATGACATGGGGTGGAGTGGAGGCGGGGTTACGGCAAGGGACGGAGTGGAGGCGGGGTTACGGCATGAGGTGGAGTGGAGGGGGGGTTACGGCATGGGGCGGAGTGGAGGCGGGGTTTTATGGCATGGGGCAGAGTGGAGGCGGGGTTATGGCAAGGGACAGAGTGGAGGCGGGGTTATGGCATGGGGCAGAGTGGAGGCGGGGTTATGGCATGGGACAGAGTGGAGGCGGGGTTA